TATATATATATATATATAGATACCTTTATTGTTGTCCCTTTCTGCAGGAGCAGGATCACGAGCAACGGAATAGTAAAGTGGGAATCCGAACAGCAACAACCTGAGCGCATATGCCCCCACGGCCCGCAAAGGGGTCCGCCGCGCAGTCTTTTGTGGCTGCCCGCGGTGCGCCGGACAGCCTGCAGAGTTTCTTGGGCGGTATGTCGCTGCCGTCGCAGGGAGGTGCCGAAGACGCTGCGATGATGGAAGTGAATCTGAAGCTCCTGCAGAAGAGTAACGAGACGACAGTACTAAAGGCCCTGGTGGAGCTCAACCGCCAGGTAGGCGTCGTGGAGGAAACGGAGCTCCTCTCTTACCTGCCGAGCATCATCGAGGCGGTGCTGCGGCACGCCGACCATGCGAACGCAACGGTGCGCGCTGGCATCTTCAGCCTCCTCCACGGCATGCTGCGGCGTGGCGAGGCGGTGCGCGGTGTGCTGGAACAGGAGCTGCCGTCACTCATCGTCGTATGGGTGGCGCGCATGAATGACATGGAAACATCAGTTCGAAAGGATGCCCGTGACGCCTTCAGCGCTGCCTTCCACGTACATGTGCTGCAGAAGTATGCTGATACGATTGTGGAGGGTCTCATTGAAACATTCAAGGATATGATCGAACACTCTCGCGGAAAGCCGCTCCAGGGCGATAACTTGGACCGCCGCTCGAACACGTTGTACTCGTCGGTGTGTGCGCTAGGGTACATGATGCGGCAGCCTGTTACAGCCCGGCAGAAGATCATTGCCTTTGTGCAGAAGCAGTCACTGCAGCCCATTATGCCATTGCGCGAGGGCGCCACGAAAGGTAGTCTGGTGGCAAAGGCACCTGTTGTGCGCTCTGCTTCACTCTCACTGCTGCGCAATATTGTGGAGTCGCGGCTCATGACGCCTGAGGTGCACCGCTGCGTCGCCACCGCGCTTCATGACGCTATGTTCGAGAGTGAGGTGGTCGTTTTGCAACGTGCTTGGGAGCTGCTGCTGCTGTGGTGCGGCGAGGATGCTGGAAGCGCCATTGAGTACTTTCACGACGGCTTCCTGGCGGATGTGATTGGCAGCTTTGTGCGGTGCAGTGACGCGGCGGCTGCGGAGGTGATTTATCCGTCGCTCGTGCCGCTGCTGGTGCCACTCACACGTGACCCGCGCTGCGCCGATGTCGCCGGTGAGTTTGGCGACGCCCTCGTTGAGAAGCTGAGTCACCTTGGTGTCGTGGGTGTGCAGGAATGGCGGCTGGTGCTGTCCGCCATGCTGCAGACGTGGGAGCTTCTCTGCGTGCGCACGGCGGGGTCCGGCGGCGAGCGCGCACAGAATGGTCCCAGACTTTTCCACCACATCATCGCCGCGTTGGCGCTCGCCATGGAGGCGGCGAGCAATCGGGCACGGTACTTTCCGACTTCCATTGCGGTTGCCACGCAGAGCATAACGCGTGCATCCCGCCACGGTGAATGCTTCCGCGAATGTATGCACATCTTGTGCGGGCACCCGGATGCGCACTTCCACGTTCTTCCCTCTGGTGGCAGCGCGGCGCTCGCGGAGAGCTTTAACATACTGCAGGCAGCACTCGTGGGGACCAGTGTGGCGTTGCCTGGTATGTCGGAGGAGGCGGAGCGGCTACTCACAAAGTACACAGACGACAAACTGTGGGAACCTCTTACCGAGCTGTTGCGTGCGTCTGCCGCCAAGAAAGAGGGCAACAACAACGGTGACACGGCCGTCTTCACCCCGGAGAAGTCCGTGCGGTTGAAGGTCGCCAGGGGAATCATAGAAGCTATCCGATGCAATGCATGTGAGGAAGAGGAGGAGGATGATGGAGAGGCAAAAGAGAGGCAAGGGAAATGCCTCAAGGAAATTTTTTCGCTTCTCTTGTTGTGGAAAGACAGTGAGGTCCATGAGGAGCTGCGGGGGCTCTCCGTCGGTGGGCTTTGCGGACTGGAGTGGGTACAGGAGAGCATCCGCGCCCATGAGATGAGGGATCCCGAACAAATGATGCGCGTCTTTGTGAAGGTATGCGAAGAGGCGGAATTTGACACAGTGGAACACTGCCTCAATTTGACGGAGGCCAAACAGCAGTCGCTGACGACTGCCGAAAAGGAGCAATTACGACACGCAGTACAGGAATCACTGGAGGCTACCCTGCGGCTTGTGGCTGATTGTGGCAATTCATCATCAGAAGAAGAAGCAGCAGCAGGAGGTTCGGTAACGCCGTCAGATGAAGACTTAGAGAGCGCAGGGAATGACAGTAACAGCAAGATTGAAAATGATAATGATGGTTCGAGTAATGACTCCAGTGAGGAGGACACGGACAACGGTAGCGATGAGGAGGAGGATGAGGATGCCGCTAACGAGGGTGCGGTGGTGCTGCAACGACTCTTGAAGTGGGTGGAGCTCCTCCGCAAAGGTGGGCGTTTGGCTGTGCTCCTCGATTTCAATGGGGAACACCTCATGCTGCCCACACTCTTCCGCATCGTGGCAGCCGTCGCTCCACGTCTGCACGCAGAGCAGTACATGTCCATCAAGGCCCTCCGCGTCGCCTTGCAAGAGGACGGCGACCCGTTGCTGCACGCGATGGCACAGAAGAAGCATCACCTCGGCGTGGGCCAGTTTAACCAGCTGGTGGAGCGATTGGAGCAGCTTCTGGACTCATATGGGATAAGTGTAGAGCAGCGGGACACGTGTTCCTTGGAGTTGTTTGATACGGTGATGCGGGACCCATCTTGTGCTCTCGCGGCGTGCGGGCAACTGTCCCGATTGGTTCCCTTCGCGTCCGGAAGCCTGCTCCAGGGCATTGCGTGCAGCAGCGGTTTGTGGGCCGATCACCAAGTGCGCCCGCGCGACACGGACCCCTCGTGCGAAGGGGAGGTGCCTTTTGCTATGCTGGACCGATACTGCGCGCTCGATGCGATGGAGCTGTCGATGCTGCGTTGCGTGCGAACGGCGCAGCTTGTGCATCTGCTTGGGGCGTCTGTCCCAATCGAGACGTGCGATGCGGTGGTTGTGACACTGCCGCTGCTGCGTGCTGCGCGCGTGCAGGAGGCGCTTGCAGACCCGATACGGAAGCTCCTCACGACGAGACTGCTGCCGCGTGCGCTGCTGCGGCTGACGTCGCCGGAGGACGTTCTCACGCTGCTGGCGGGCGGCGCGGAGCCGCATCTTCTCGTCTGCACGCTCGCCGGTGTTCTGCGCGATGTGGCGGCGACTGCGGGCGACGCGCTGATTGCCACCGCGCGCCGCATTGCCGGCGTCGTGACGCAGTGGATCACTGACACCCTTCTGCTCCGAGAGGGGACAGCGCCCGTGCACGCCGCCGCCGTTGCGGCGTACCGTGCCTTCTTCGCCTCCCTCGACGAGGTCGCGGACATCGTAGGCAACTCCATTCCCTCTACTGTCGGAGCCCGGCAGGCGGCTGCTCTGCAGGAGGCAATGTGCATGCTGCCGACGCTTGATGCACGCACCGCACTCCTCACCATGACGCTACACCGTCACCTCAGCAGTGCGCCAGTCGTTGTGGCCAGCACCGTGCAGCAGGTTGTTGCTCACGCTCTTAATCAGCGGCCACTCGACGGCGTGGAGCTCCTCGCGGAGCTTGCCTCCAGTCGCATCATCGACACCACAGCCTACAATACGCTTGTGCATACCATCACCCACCTGCTGTCGCGCTGCTGCAGACTACGCCACATGCCGCCGAACGGTCGATTGGTCTCGCAGGCGGCGAATGACCCACCAATGTCGTCAAGAGAACTTCGCCGCGTTGTGGTCTCCGCGGTGTCGGCACGACGAGGTGTCATTCTGCACGGTCGCATGGATGACGTATTGCGCAGTTCCGTGAATCTTATTTTATTCGATGCCGTGACGGAGTGTGTGGTGTCGTTGCGTCACACAAGAGAGGAGGAGGTGCCGCTTCTGGCGAAACTCATCGCGTTCACGTCGAGTTGCCTTAGCGAGTTGGCGCCCGCAGACGTTGCGGTACTGCGCTCCTCCGAGGTAAGCGTGACCAAGGTGGCAGGCGTGATAAATTTTGCGTACCAGTGGCTTTGCGCGACACCCATAGCGAAGCTGGAAAATATCGGAATGGTTACGGTTGCCACTGCTATAGACGCGGTTGCGCTGCTGTCAAACTTGACACTTATGCGCTCCAGCTTCGTTCTGCTGCCTATCATGCGTCAGATCACATCGAAGCGCATGCTAAAGAATTTGCGTAGCGAATTCGGCGGGGGGTCACTGGCAAAGGTTAATTTGTTTATGCGACACGCAGGGGTGATTGCCAAGACGAAAAAGCAAAGATTAGCACTGTTTCCCCATCTCCTCGCGTGGTGTGTTACACTCAGTGGACCTGTGCAAGAGAATTTCACCAAGGAGCGGCGTGAGGAGGTGTTTCACCTGCTTGATCTTTTATGTTCGTTGCTGCTCACATCCGCGGTGCCTGGTACGAAGCGTATCGATGACACCTACCTCTGCAGCTCTGCCAAAAGGGGTGGTGAGAATCTCGGATTCGAGACTGCGGCCTTAACGCGTGCGGGGGATGTAGAGCCAATGCGGGAGTTGGCGAAGGGGGCTGCCGCTGTCTTTGCACTGCTGCTGCAGAGTAACACACTGTCGTTTGTGAAGAGCTGGCTTGATACCATTGAGCGGAAGCTTCAGGATCTTTTCTATACCTTTGTCGACGATCACATCTCGCCGATCCTTATTCAAGAGAGCCTCTTCACAGTGCTCGGAAAGAGCCCCTCAGGGGGGTCGACATTTGAAGTAAATGAAAACTACAATGTGACGGTTAGTCTCCCGAATAAGCTCATCAAGCTGAAGTACACCATGGAGGACGCGAGTGTTACGGTACAGATCGCTTTCCCAAGTGCATTTCCCTTGCGGTTGCCCACTGTTACGTACGAGAGCGGAAGAGACTGTGGTGTGTCGACGGATAAGTGGCGCTCGTGGATGCTCAAGATGACAGTCCTTCTGTTTGGTGGCTCCGCCAACGTGTGGGAGTGCGTGACCCTCTTCGGCAGAAACATGGATGCGCATTTTTCAGGACAGGAGCCGTGCCCTATCTGCTTCGCTGTTGTCTCGGCGGTAAGCCATCGCCTCCCTGACATGCGGTGTGCCGTCTGCCGCAACTCTGCTCTGCACTCCGACTGCCTCTACGCGTGGTGGACAAATAGTGGCCAGACGGTGTGCCCGCTCTGTCGCTCGCCATGGGTGGCGAGTTGAGTGCCGCAGCGCCACACTTGTTACTCTCTTTAACACTATATATATATATATATATATTTATTTATATATATCACTGTATGTGCTGGGTGGGGACTGCTGGTGTGATCTGGTCGCTCCCCTTGACGTGCGACGCCGGTTATATGTTGCGTTTGGTCTTCTCTGTTTCTTTCTTATTCTTCTTGTGCGCATCCCTTCGTTCATGTGATCGACGAGGCAGCTGTTTGTGTGTGTGTGTGTGTGTGTGTGTGGCGCGAAATGGAGCCTTTGATTCGGCCACTGCCACGTGAGGAGCCGCTGCTTGCCTCCAGACGTGCCGTTCTCGAGCGCACGCGCCGGCAGCACGCCGGCACACTTAACATCTTCGCAACGCAGGAGCCGCCAACGCCTGCCGCGCCTCGCATCGCGCGGCAACGGGCGCACCACAACTACGAGTCGCAAGAAACGCGGGAGTTCGCATTCGGCCACCTGCATCGCGTGAAGCCGCCGCAGCGCGTGGAGACGCCGCGTGGCATCCATCACGTGGCGGGCGCGGTAGGGAATATGCAGAGCATTCAGGTCGTCAGCATCACGGACGCGTACAAGGACCCAAACAACATGCCAACGCCGCGCGCCGGCCTGCGGTGCGCTACCCGTAGCCACTCGTCGTCGATGCGCGAGATATTGTCGTACGCCGGCGGCAGCGATGAGATGCGGCCGATCAGCCGTCCCCCATCGCGGGTGGTGAACTATAGCCAGCAGGAGCGCTTCTGTCAGGCAGTTCGCGACCACGCGCAGCACCGCCGCGGCGGCGTGACGGGGTTTTACGTTAACCTTGCGCGTGGCCGCGTGGGGCGTGTCTCGGCTCATACGCCTGTGGAGACGCCGCGTGGGTGGCGGCTCGAGGACGAGCCGCCAACGCACACCTTAACGCTCGGCAGCTGTAGGGACCAGCTGCAGTCGCTAACAGGCATCGACATCTCGTTGGCGGAGATGGCAGAGTTGCTGTGGGATGCGGACGACCTGCGGGCGGCGATGGGAGGCAGCGTGGATGAGGCGCGATTGTGTGAACTGAAAGTCTCCTACCGCGACTTCTCTGCGGCCTTCGGTGACAACTCCGCCAATACCAAGCTTGCCACAATGAAAATATAAGGCGGAACATAACAGATTAGAAGAGGAGCTCAGGTATGAAAAAAAAAGATGCGAAACACACCGACAGTAAGGCGGTTGCTAGTAGATTTGACTTTGGATCCGTATTTAATGGGCTCTTTCTTCCCCTTCATAGAACACCTTTATAGAGACAGAGGGTGATCTCTCCTTTGTGCGCATCCAGACTTGTTGTGGACCCGATCAGTTGCGAAAAAGAGTAACACTTTCTTGCTGCTTTTTTTTTTCGGAAGAGCCGTCTAGCTGCTTATCGTTCTGTCAGGCTTCCATTTTTTTTTTGTTTTTGCCTTTGGGCTGTTGTTGGGTTTCATCTTTTTTTTTTCTTTCTTTCTTGTTGCGTGTTCACGCTTGATTGTCTTTATCACTGGTGGAGAAAGCTGGTGGTTTGGTTAGCGTTGCCGCTGATGGAGGTGAGCAGCACTACAATGGAGTGGACCGACAACGACGGCGACGTCGTGGACACGTCGTCGCCGAATGAGCCGCAGGCGGAGGCAACAGTTATTTCCGGCGCGGCTCTGCTCAGCGGCACGCTCAACGTGGAGCACATGGCACGCGCAGAAACCCTCCACATGCAGGGCTGCAACTACGATGACTCGGTGGCGGAGTACGTTGTGAAGGAAGTTCTGCCGCGGGCCCACGCACTGCGCACAGTAGAGGTCGCTGATACGCGCTTCAGCCCGCTTGGCCTTCTGAGTGTGCTGCGTGNTGCCGCGGGCCCACGCACTGCGCACAGTAGAGGTCGCTGATACGCGCTTCAGCCCGCTTGGCCTTCTGAGTGTGCTGCGTGCTCTGTGCAACAGCTCAGGTGACACGCTGGAGAAACTGTGCCTTTCGGACGTACACCTCCATAACGAGGAGTGCGCGATGTTACAGCAGGTGGTGGTGAAGCACGCGTCGCGGCTGAAGGAATTGCAGCTGCAGCGCTGTCACATGGACGACGTAGCGGCGCAGGCGGTGGCGGAGGGCATCTCACGCGCCGGGTGCCTGCAGGAGTTGTGGATTGCCGACAACGACGTGCTTCCCGCCTTTGCTGTGCAGCTTGGTGAGTCGCTGGCGTTCCCTGCGTCGCTTACGGTACTTGACCTCAGCGGGAACCGCATCGACCCTGCGCATCACCGTGGTCTTTTTCGCGCTTTCCGCCGCTGCGCCGCCACGCTGCAGGAGGTGTACCTCGCGAGGTGCTGCATCGCCGAGGACGGCCTCAACGCCGTGCTGAACGCTGGCGTCTACGCCTCGCATGCCCTTCGCGTGCTGAGTGTGTCGTCCGGCCGCCTGTTCCGCTCCGCCGGTAGGGTGCTCTGCGGCGTCCTCACCGAGTGCCCTAACCTCGAGCGGCTGTACGTGCAGGAGAACTTCATCGAGGCGGACGGCGCCGTGCGTATGTCCGTTGGCATCCCGTACGCGAAGAAGCTAGCGGTACTGGGTATGGGGCGGTGTCATATTGGGGGGCGTGGTGCGAGAGCCGTGGCCGAGGCGGTGATGCAAAGCTCGTCGATGTGCGAGCTTGACATCTCTGGCAACAGCATACAAGATGCGGACGTGCAAGATATATGTAGACACTCTAACGTCAGTAGCCTACGGCTAAAGTTTCTCGATTTGTCCGATAATCCCCTGACGGAGCGGTGTTGGTTGGCGCTCAAGGCCTTGCTAGAGGCGCACAAGGATAATCCTTGCATTGTGGTGGTCCGTGGCACTCAACTTGGGGCGAAGTCATCCTATTTGGAGTATAACGAGCCTTCCCCTTCATGTTGAGTGGGTCATTTTTGCTCTTTGAATGAAATTGGGCGCCTAATCAGTGATACTTATGATGTAAGTATAGTAGTCAGCAATGGAGACAAACCACATGTGATTCTTTGAATTTCGTGCAAAAACGAAGAGGGACAAATGGGGAGGTGGGGCACCCATGTTTCAAGGTATCTCTTTGAATTCTGCATCCCTTTAACTGTTTTGCAATTATTGCCTGTACTCATTTAGTCTCTCTGTATTTTTTTTTTTTTGTCCCCTCCTCGTGTTGCTGTTGTTTGATCCGTTGCTATGGTTCTACCTTTACGGAATACTTCCCCGAGTATAAACAGGGTCACAGATATACAAAACTCAAACTAATCATTGCCATTGCCCTAAGCACTTAGTCTTCCCCCTCATGTTGCGCCGTTCTTTGTCATTACTCAACAAGAAGGCCCCACCCCCGTTCAGGTACGTCCCTCTGATTCCGCATGTTTCGCACGACGACACCAAGTTTCGCCTGTTGACAAAGGACTACGTTACGGTCGTGCAGCCCGACTGCGGTCTGCCTGAGATTCTTAAGGTAGATGTGGAGGGCCTGGCACTGCTTGCGTCGGAGGCCATTGGCGATGTGCAGCACCTCCTCCGTCCCTCGCACCTGAGTTGCCTGCGCAAGATCTTTGATGACCCAGAGGCCAGTGACAACGACCGTTTTGTGGCGTTGCAGCTGCTAAAAAATGCGAACATTGCGGCGGCTCGTGTCCTTCCCGGGTGCCAGGACACCGGCACGGCAATTGTCGCCGGCTACAAGGGCGAGCAGGTCTTCACGAACGGCGACGACAGTGAGGCACTCAGCCGTGGCGTGCACAAGATCTACACCACTACGGACCTGCGCTACAGTCAGAATGTCCCGCTGAGCATGTACGATGAAAAGAACACGGGCTGCAACCTGCCGGCGCAGATCGATCTCTACGCAACGAAGGGACAGGAGTACAACTTCATGTTTGTGGCGAAAGGTGGGGGCTCGGCGAACAAGGCGTACCTCTTCCAGGAGACGAAGTCTGTCCTGAACCCCAAGTCGATCCGAAAATTTCTGGAGGAGAAAATAGCCACGATCGGCACAGCGGCGTGCCCTCCGTACCACATGGCACTCGTTGTCGGTGGTACCAGTGCGGAGCAGACGATGAAGACAGTGAAGTACGCGTCCTGTAAGTACTACGACAACTTGCCGACGAAGCCAGACGAGTCGAAGGGGTACGCCTACCGTGACCTCGAGCTGGAGAATATCGTGATGGACATCTGCCGCAATATCGGTATGGGTGCCCAATTTGGCGGGAAGTACTTCGCCCATGACGCACGTGTGATTCGGCTGCCGCGGCACGGTGCGAGTTGCCCGATTGGCCTCGGTGTGAGCTGCAGCGCCGACCGCCAGGCGCTGGCGAAGATCAACAAGGATGGAATCTGGCTTGAGGAGCTTGAGAGGGATCCGGCGAAGTACTTGCCGGAGGTCACAGAGGACCAGCTGCTCAAGACACCGCCGGTGAAGATTGACCTCAACATGCCGATGGAGAAGATACGCGCGGAGTTGTCGCGCCACCCCGTCAAGACGCGGCTGAGTCTCACTGGCACCATCGTCGTCGCGCGCGACATTGCTCACGCACGGATGCGGGAGATGCTGGAGGCGGGCAAGCCGCTGCCGGACTACATTAAGAATCACCCCGTCTACTACGCCGGGCCTGCCAAGAAGCCTGAGGGCCTGGCGTCCGGCTCCTTCGGTCCAACGACCGCCGGGCGCATGGACCCCTTCGTGGATCTCTTCCAGGAGAACGGCGGCTCTTTCGTGATGCTCGCGAAGGGCAACCGCAGCCGGCAGGTGACACAGGCCTGCAAGAAGCACGGTGGCTTTTACCTTGGCAGCATCGGCGGCCCCGCGGCGCTGCTGGCGATGGAGTCGATCCGCAAGGTGGAGGTGCTCGACATGGCAGAACTCGGCATGGAGGCGGTGTGGAAGATCGAGGTGGAGGACTTCCCCGCCTTCATCGTCGTCGATGACAAGGGCAATGACTTCTTCCAGCAGCTCAAGTAGTGGGCCGGCCGGCCAGCAGTCGTACCAGTACCCTGTATGAGAATGCAGAGAACCCCC